CGACAAAACCACACAGCAGGAGCTGTATAGGACTGAACATTCTCTATTTATAAAGTATTAAAAATGGGTAAACAGTCATAAATATGATAATTGGATACCAATCATTAGAAACACATATTAACCGTCAAAGCCCTGATATTACGTCCCCTTCAGAAAATGACTTGAATACTCATACCTGGCTTAAACTCAATATACTGGCATTGGGAAGTCCTCATTTGTACTTAGTTAGTTATTTAGTTAGTTAGTTAGTTAGTTAGTTAGTTAGTTAGTTAGTTAGTTAGTTAGTTAGTTAGTTAGTTAGTTAGTTAGTTAGTTAGTTAGTTAGTTAGGTAGTTAGTTAGTTAGTTAGTTAGTTAGTTAGTTAGTTAGTTAATTAGTTAATTAGTTAATTAGTTAATTAGTTAATTAGTATTAGTTAGTTAGTTAGTTAGTTAGTTAGTTAGTTAGTTAGTTAGTTAGTTAGTTAGTTAATTAGTTAATTAGTTAATTAGTTAATTAGTTAGTTAGTTAGTTAGTTAGTTAGTTAGTTAGTTAGTTAGTTAGTTAGTTAGTTAGTTAGTTAGTTAGTTAATTAGTTAATTAGTTAATTAGTTAATTAGTTAATTAGTTAATTAGTTAGTTAGTTAGTTAGTTAGTTAGTTAGTTAGTTAGTTAGTTAGTTAGTTAGTTAGTTAGTTAGTTAGTTAGTTAGTTAGTTAGTTAGTTAGTTAATTAGTTAGTTAGTTAGTTAGTTAGTTAGTTAGTTAGTAGTTAGTTAGTTAGTTAGTTAGTTAGTTAGTTAGTTAGTTAGTTAGTTAGTTAGTTAGTTAGTTAGTTAGTTAGTTAGTTAGTTAGTTAGTTAGTTAGTTAGTTAGTTAGTTAGTAGTTAGTTAGTTAGTAGTTAGTTAGTTAGTTAGTTAGTTAGTTAGTTAGTTAGTTAGTTAGTTAGTTAGTTAGTTAGTTAGTTAGTTAGTTAGTTAGTAGTTAGTTAGTTAGTTAGTTAGTAGTTAGTTAGTTAGTTAGTTAGTAGTTAGTTAGTTAGTTAGTAAGTTAGTAGTTAGTTAGTTAGTTAGTTAGTTAGTTAGTTAGTTAGTTAGTTAGTTAGTTAGTTAGTTAGTTAGTTAGTTAGTTAGTTAGTTAGTTAGTAGTTAGTTAGTTAGTTAGTTAGTTAGTTAGTTAGTTAGTTAGTAGTAGTTAGTTAGTTAGTTAGGTTAGTTAGTTAGTTAGTAGTTAGTTAGTAGTTAGTTAGTTAGTTAGTTAGTTAGTTAGTTAGTTAGTTAGTTAGTTAGTTAGTTAGTAGTTAGTTAGTTAGTTAGTTAGTTAGTTAGTTAGTTAGTTAGTTAGTTAGTTAGTTAGTTAGTTAGTTAGTTAGTTAGTTAGTTAGTTAGTTAGTTAGTTAGTTAGTTAGTTAGTTAGTTAGTTAGTTAGTTAGTTAGTAGTTAGTTAGTTAGTTAGTAGTTAGTTAGTTAGTTAGTTAGTTAGTTAGTTAGTTAGTTAGTTAGTAGTTAGTTAGTTAGTTAGTTAGTTAGTTAGTTAGTTAGTTAGTTAGTTAGTTAGTTAGTTAGTTAGTAGTTAGTTAGTTAGTTAGTTAGTTAGTTAGTTAGTTAGTTAGTTAGTTAGTTAGTTGTTAGTTAGTTAGTTAGTTAGTTAGTTAGTTAGTTAGTTAGTTAGTTAGTAGTTAGTTAGTAGTTAGTTAGTTAGTTAGTTAGTTAGTTAGTTAGTAGTTAGTAGTTAGTAGTTAGTTAGTTAGTTAGTTAGTTAGTTAGTTAGTTAGTTAGTTAGTTAGTTAGTTAGTTAGTTAGTTAGTTAGTTAGTTAGTTAGTTAGTTAGTAGTTAGTTAGTTAGTTAGTTAGTTAGTTAGTTAGTTAGTTAGTTAGTTAGTTAGTTAGTTAGTTAGTTAGTTAGTAGTTAGTTAGTTAGTTAGTTAGTTAGTTAGTTAGTTAGTTAGTTAGTTAGTTAGTTAGTTAGTTAGTTAGTAGTTAGTTAGTTAGTTAGTTAGTTAGTTAGTTAGTTAGTTAATTAGTTAATTAGTTAATTAGTTAATTAGTTAATTAGTTAATTAGTTAGTTAGTTAGTTAGTAGTTAGTTAGTTAGTTAGTTAGTTAGTTAGTTAGTAGTTAGTTAGTTAGTTAGTTAGTTAGTTAGTTAGTTAGTTAGTTAGTTAGTTAGTTAGTTAGTTAGTTAGTTAGTTAGTTAGTTAGTTAGTTAGTTAGTTAGTTAGTTAGTTAGTTAGTTAGTAGTTAGTTAGTTAGTTAGTTAGTTAGTTAGTTAGTTAGTTAGTTAGTAGTTAGTTAGTTAGTTAGTTAGTTAGTTAGTTAGTTAGTTAGTTAGTTAGTTAGTTAGTTAGTTAGTTAGTTAGTTAGTTAGTTAGTTAGTTAGTTAGTTAGTTAGTTAGTTAGTTAGTTAGTTAGTTAGTTAGTTAGTTAGTTAGTTAGTTAGTTAGTTAGTTAGTTAGTTAGTTAGTTAGTTAGTAGTTAGTTAATTAGTTAAGTTAGTTAGTTAGTTAGTTAGTTAGTTAGTTAGTTAGTTAGTTAGTTAGTTAGTTAGTTAGTTAGTTAGTTAGTAGTTAGTTAGTTAGTTAGTTAGTTAGTTAGTTAGTTAGTTAGTTAGTTAGTTAGTTAGTTAGTTAGTTAGTTAGTTAGTTAGTTAGTTAGTTAGTTAGTTAGTTAGTTAGTTAGTTAGTTAGTTAGTTAGTTAGTTAGTTAGTTAGTTAGTTAGTTAGTTAGTTAGTTAGTTAGTTAGTTAGTTAGTTAGTTAGTTAGTTAGTTAGTTAGTTAGTTAGTTAGTTAGTTAGTAGTTAGTTAGTAGTTAGTAGTTAGTTAGTTAGTTAGTTAGTTAGTTAGTTAGTTAGTTAGTTAGTTAGTTAGTTAGTTAGTTAGTTAGTTAGTTAGTTAGTTAGTAGTTAGTTAGTTAGTTAGTTAGTTAGTTAGTTAGTTAGTTAGTTAGTTAGTTAGTTAGTTAGTTAGTTAGTTAGTTAGTTAGTTAGTTAGTTAGTTAGTTAGTTAGTTAGTAGTTAGTTAGTTAGTTAGTTAGTTAGTTAGTAGTTAGTTAGTTAGTTAGTTAGTTAGTTAGTTAGTTAGTAGTTAGTTAGTTAGTTAGTTAGTTAGTTAGTTAGTTAGTTAGTTAGTTAGTAGTTAGTTAGTTAGTTAGTTAGTTAGTTAGTTAGTTAGTTAGTTAGTTAGTTAGTTAGTTAGTTAGTTAGTTAGTTAGTTAGTTAGTTAGTTAGTTAGTTAGTTAGTAGTTAGTTAGTTAGTTAGTTAGTTAGTTAGTTAGTTAGTTAGTTAGTTAGTTAGTTAGTTAGTTAGTTAGTTAGTTAGTTAGTTAGTTAGTAGTTAGTTAGTTAGTTAGTTAGTTAGTTAGTAGTTAGTTAGTTAGTTAGTAGTTAGTTAGTTAGTTAGTTAGTTAGTTAGTTAGTTAGTTAGTTAGTTAGTTAGTTAGTTAGTTAGTTAGTTAGTTAGTTAGTTAGTTAGTTAGTTAGTTAGTTAGTAGTTAGTTAGTTAGTTAGTTAGTAGTTAGTTAGTTAGTTAGTTAGTAGTTAGTTAGTTAGTTAGTTAGTTAGTTAGTTAGTTAGTTAGTTATAGATGCGGGTCGTTATATTTTGAAATTTTGTTATTAGTTGTTAGTGTTAAAAGAATAACACTTTTTCCACAACCCAACAAACATTTCACTCGCTTTCTAAACGTAAATAGAAACGTCATTCTAAATTTATTGTAATTACCTGGTCATTGCAAAATTTTGTCATTTTTAGCCTATAATTAGTATAAAATATATTAAATAAAAACTTTTCTTTCATTTCTCTACATTAACTAAACAGTGCTTTTAGTTTGTAGTCATTTCTAAATTTATCATGACATATGCATGACTTTGACATTTAATTTTTTTTTTTTTTGCATTTCTAGCAAAGTTTGGGAAAAATGTTTTGCTTAAAAATGTTTCTTTAACAATTAAGTTATTGTTTAAACAAACATTCATAGTATGTATGCAGACAATAACGAAGACGACAAATTGTTAAATGTCAACTTTTAAACAAATATAGTCGGAGGAGGAGTCGTCGTCGGCAAGTGAACTTTAAACAGAAACTATGAAAAACTGACACATAAATAAAAGTTTTATTTAACTTGTTTTCCGTTTTCTTTAAAATAGTTGTTGTGTATATAATGGGACATTAATTAGGAGGGATAGTATATACAAATATTTATAAATAAATACTTTTAGCGATTATGAACAAGGTTGTTTCTTTTCAAGAATTACACCTATTTAATTTCTAAACAATTGTCATTAAGTTTTTTGTTATTAGTTTGGAGGACTGTTATTATTTATTGACGCCTTTATTAGCTAAAGAAATTAACAAAATCAATTGAAATATATAAACAAACTTAACGATCCCTGGAAAGTAGACAGATAAACAAATCGTAATATTTTGTTGCTGTCAGTGGGTATGTTTAAAAAATCCCTTTTCCGTCTGCAAGTTTTCTCATTCTTCAACTTTTTATGAAAAATGTATCAATTTTCCATCATGTCAAACATTTTAACAACTAAGAGTTTTATATTCGGCTATCACGAATCTTATATACCCACCATCAGAATATGTGTTCTAAATTAAAGGAGAATTTCGGAAAGCTGTCACTTAGGTCCTTCTAGATCGATATTTTTATTAACAGGATAGGTGGACTGATCTTGAACATTTTATATAACAATCAAGAGAGAATATTTGGAAAATTTAAACCCATTAGCATTTGCGCTGTAAGCCCTATGTGTAGATCGTATTAGAATTTACCAAGAATAAGAGCTAAACTTATTATGAAAGCCTTCTACTGGAGGTTATTTTAATATTTAATTAATTTATTTAATATTTTCTTGATATTTTAACAAAATTAACCTTTGACTACCCCAGTCCCCCCTTATAAAGCTATGTTACAAACAGACTGATATAAACTAACTGTAAAACAGTCTCTTATATCTACGATAATATGCGATAATAATAAAAAAACCTAAACCAGGAAATCTGTATTTTTATATAGGGTTATACAACAAATAACTACTCACCCACATACAAAGGCAAATTATTTCCACACTTACAGCTACAAAGAAATAACAATGGGAAAAACCATCGACTATAGCAGAAGTCATATAGAGAGAAGCGGAAAAAAAGAGACTTCTCCCAATGCGCAGGATTTTGTTTACAAAAATTGATTTTACTGACAAATGAACACCTGGAAAGAAAGAACGGAAGAAATAAAGACGAACAAAATGTAAGATAAAAAGAATAATAAATAAATAAACAAAGAATTAAAAGTGTGGAGTATAAATACAAAAATTAAGGGTAAATCATGTCCCGATAACAACAAAAGAACCGATGGCATGGGGGATGGCTTGCTAGAGCGGAGGGAGTAACAGAAGGTGGTGCGAAAAAAGAAAGTTAAATAAATGTGGAAAAGGTAAAGATAAAGAAATTCATAGAGAACGAGAAGTACTACGAAAAGTAATGAAAAATTGATTAAGGGTAGAAATGAATGCATATTTTAACGAAATATTTAATATATTAAAAATTATGACAAGAAAATGTAAATTATTACAAGTACATATTACGAATAAATTATTTTTAACAAAATGTTACTTTTAGGTTAACAATTTAATTGTGATATTTAACTATTAACTAACTAACTACTACTAACTAACTAACTAACTACTAACTAACTAACTAACTAACTAACTAACTAACTAACTAACTAACTAACTAACTAACTAACTAACTAACTAACTAACTAACTAACTAACTAACTAACTAACTAACTAACTAACTAACTAACTAACTAACTAACTAACTAACTAACTAACTAACTAACTAACTAACTAACTAACTAACTAACTAACTAACTAACTAACTAACTAACTAACTAACTAACTAACTAACTAACTAACTAACTACTAACTAACTAACTAACTAACTAACTAACTAACTAACTAACTAACTAACTAACTAACTACTAACTAACTAACTAACTAACTAACTAACTAACTAACTAACTAACTAACTAACTAACTAACTAACTAACTAACTAACTAACTAACTAACTACTAACTAACTAACTAACTAACTAACTAACTAACTACTAACTAACTAACTAACTACTAACTACTACTAACTAACTAACTAACTAACTACTAACTAACTAACTAACTAACTAACTAACTAACTAACTACTAACTAACTAACTAACTAACTAACTAACTAACTAACTAACTAACTAACTAACTAACTAACTAACTAACTAACTAACTAACTAACTAACTAACTAACTAACTAACTAACTAACTAACTAACTAACTAACTACTAACTAACTAACTAACTACTACTAACTAACTAACTAACTAACTACTAACTAACTAACTAACTAACTAACTACTACTAACTAACTAACTAACTACTACTAACTAACTAACTAACTAACTAACTAACTAACTAACTAACTAACTACTAACTAACTAACTAACTAACTAACTAACTAACTAACTAACTAACTAACTAACTAACTAACTAACTAACTAACTACTAACTAACTAACTACTAACTAACTAACTAACTAACTAACTAACTAACTAACTAACTAACTAACTAACTAACTAACTAACTAACTAACTAACTAACTAACTAACTAACTAACTAACTAACTAACTAACTAACTAACTAACTAACTAACTAACTACTAACTAACTAACTAACTAACTAACTAACTAACTAACTAACTAACTAACTAACTAACTAACTAACTACTAACTAACTAACTAACTAACTAACTAACTAACTAACTAACTAACTAACTAACTAACTAACTAACTAACTAACTAACTAACTAACTAACTAACTAACTAACTAACTAACTAACTAACTAACTAACTAACTAACTAACTACTAACTAACTAACTAACTAACTAACTAACTAACTAACTAACTAACTACTAACTAACTAACTAACTAACTAACTACTAACTAACTAACTAACTAACTAACTAACTAACTAACTAACTAACTAACTAACTAACTAACTAACTAACTAAATAACTAAATAACTAACTAACTAACTAACTAACTAACTACTAACTAACTAACTAACTACTAACTAACAACTAACTAACTAACTAACTAACTAACTAACTAACTAACTAACTAACTAACTAACTAACTAACTAACTAACTAACTAACTAACTAACTAACTAACTAACTAACTAACTAACTAACTAACTAACTAACTACTAACTAACTACTAACTAACTAACTAACTAACTAACTAACTAACTAACTACTAACTAACTAACTAACTAACTACTAACTAACTAACTACTAACTAACTAACTAACTAACTAACTAACTAACTAACTACTACTACTAACTAACTAACTAACTAACTAACTAACTAACTAACTAAATAACTAACTAACTAACTAACTAACTAGCTAACTAACTAACTAACTACTAACTATCTAACTAACTAACTAACTAAATAACTAATTATCTATCTATCTATCTATCTATCTATCTATCTATCTATCTATCTATCTATCTATCTATCTATCTATCTATCTATCTATCTATCTATCTATCTATCTATCTATCTATCTATCTATCTATCTATCTATCTATCTATCTATCTATCTATCTATCTATCTATCTATCTATCTATCTATCTATCTATCTATCTATCTATCTATCTATCTATCTATCTATCTATCTATCTATCTATCTATCTATCTATCTATCTATCTATCTATCTATCTATCTATCTATCTATCTATCTATCTATCTATCTATCTATCTATCTATCTATATCTATCTATCTATCTATCTATCTATCTATCTATCTATCTATCTATCTATCTATCTATCTATCTATCTATCTATCTATCTATCTATCTATCTATCTATCTATCTATCTATCTATCTATCTATCTATCTATCTATCTATCTATCTATCTATCTATCTATCTATCTATCTATCTATCTATCTATCTATCTATCTATCTATCTATCTATCTATCTATCTATCTATCTATCTATCTATCTATCTAATCTTCTATCTACTATCTATCTATCATACTATCTTCTATCTATCTATCTATCTATCTATCTATCACTAGCCTATCTATCTATCTAACTATCTATCTATCTATCTATCTATCTATCTATCTATCTATCTATCTATCTATCTAGTCTATCTATCTATTATCTATCTATCTATCTTCTATCTATCTATCTATCTATCTATCTATCTATCTATCTATCTATCTATCTATCTATCTATCTTATCTATCTATTATCTATCTACTACTTCTATCTATCTATCTATCTATCTATCTATCTATCTATCTATATCTATCTATCTATCTATCTAAATAGCTAATGGGAGTCCTACCCAATCGAAATGCTTGTTCCAGCGAATCTATTCCTGCAAGAAAACTTAAGTTTGCTCGAGTACATCCTACGACTTGAGCTAGCGAGAGTCTATTACAATTTCAGGGGCAACGATTTTCCTCCATAAAATTCATAGCAATAAACGAGAGTCAAGTGTATATCCAATGTGTGTGAACCACACCAAATTAAATGAATGTCATCTCGAGAAAATCAATAAAATGCATTTATGCTTTTTATAACATGCAATGATAATTAAAATAATATTTTACAAACTCATATACACTCGGTGTGGTGACACTCCACTTTACTACACACTCATCCATCACACGTTCACACTTGCATAAATAAGGAAAAAAATTCAAACAAATTGTAATTTTTTACCTTTCCAACCTAAAGTTTTATATAAATAATGATGACTGACTATTTATGTTGATTTTGGGGGTCGTAAAAATTTCAAACTTAACATTTGCATTCATTTAGAAGCAGGTGTTGTTGTGCGGTTCTAAAAAGAAACCTTTTTAAAAAATGTTTACAACATATCATAATGGAAATAAATTAATTGAAAATGTTTATAAAAATGCGTTTGTGTTGCATGAAACTCGACCATAAGTATTGCAACACACTCCAAATTCCACCCCCTTAGAAATTTTTCTTGAAAAAAAAAAAATAAACCTGTTCAGTTTTATATAGCAAATAAGTTTCAGTTATTGTTGGTTCCACTTTGTTGTTTAAACAAAAGTTCAATGAACTTTTACTTTGTTATTTTTGATTTTACTATTATAATTTACAAATATTTAGATAAGATTATTATATATTTTATGAAATTGCATACAAATAATAAAATTTATAACAATCAGGTTATTTTAAACCAGAAAGTTAAATTTCCCTCCCCCGATTTCGGTTTTTTTTTAGCAAATATAACTGTAAATTTAAACTTTTTTATGAAATTTGTATATGATATTATTTATTGTTGTTTTAAATAATATTGTTTATAAACAAAAAACAAGTATAAATGTTTTGGTCCTTCGCTCTGAATCTTATATACCCACCACCGAAACATGCGTAAGACGTATTTCTATGTATTTCATACGATTTAACAAATTCCCAATATCTTGGGGGGTGGTTCTAAAAAAATTTAAATGTCAATGGCTCGTGTTTTGTGTTTTGACTAAAATTTATTTGTCAAATTTACTATAAGTATTTAAACTGATATTTGTTTCTTTTTTTTAACCAATGCGCAATAAATTTTGTTCAAAAATATTTTGAAATTCTTTGCAGGTATATATTTATTATAAATGAAATATTTTGCAAAAAAATAAAAATAAACATAAATAATTAAGTGAAAAAGAAAGATTTTCTTACATAACTTTTGTTTAATATAATTATGGTATAACAAACAAATATTTTAATAATAGAAATTAAACTGAAAATATTTAAAAAAAATGTATAGAAACTAATTGTAATAATTGGAGGGCAAGTTAAGTTAAGTTTATTGGGGGGCAAAAAAAATATTGTGTATTTTTTTTATAGATAATAAATTTTTTAAAAAATTTTTTGTTCTAAATAGTTTTTTTTAATCAAATATGATTTTGTTAAATGAATAAGACGCCCATTAATAGTTATTTGCCAAAAAGTTAATTATTTATCATTTTTAGTTTATTTTCCGAATAATCTTTTATATATAGATCAGTCTATAGTCTTGACTATATATCAGTCTATAGTCTTTACTATATATCTATATGTCTTTACTATATATCTATATGTCTACTATAGATCGTTCTATAGTCTTGACTATAGATCATTGTATAGTCAATCTATAGTCTTGACTATAGGTCATTCTATAGTCTTGACTATAGATCATTCTATAGTCTTGACTTTGGATAATTCTATAGTCTTGACTATAGATCATTCTATTGTCTTGACTATAGATCAATGTGTAGTACAGACTATAGATCAGTCTATAGTCTTGATTATAGATCAGTCTATAGTCTTGAATATAGATCAGCCTACAGTCTTGTATATAGATCAATGTGTAGTACAGACTATAGATCAGTCTATAGTCTTGACTACAGATCAGTCTATAATCTTCACTATAGATCAGTCTATAGTCTTGACTACAGATCAGTCTATAATCTTCACTATAGATCAGTC